GGCAGCTGTGGCTACAACTGTAGCTGCCTCCACCAGTGTGTGAATGTGAGAGTGAATGAATAGTGGTATTGTAAAAAGCGCTTTGGGTGCCTTAAAAAGCGCTATATAAATCCAATCCATTATTATTATTATTATTATTATTATTAATAAAAAGATCATCTGGTCCTTTGCAGGTCTTAAGAATGGTAAATACAACTTCAACAACATGTAACATGTTAAACTGTCCCATTATTTATTCATGAAAAACTAAGCCTAAACATATTCTCAAACCCTCTTGTTGAATAATAATTGCTGTAATATTCAGTTTCACTCTCACTAAATAACTAGTACATCTAGTTTCTTCAGGATTTATAAGAATGTTTGTTAATATCGTTCATCTAAAAAAGTCATGTTTTCTACTAAGTTTAGCTTCACATAAAGTAAAGTCAGAGTTTGGTATCAGGGAGTTTTATAATATAATATTAATTAAATTAAAAGTAATTAATAATGAACAATCCAGCGGAAGTACAGTTCGGGTTACAGACTCAGTGTAGTTTTTTGCTGCTCTTTTAGAAATTGTATGTTTGCCACTGCATATCCGTCATGCATGTCATGGAGTGACATGCATGACGGACATCACGGCATCAACCCACTGAAAGTGTTCCTTTTTTGACTGCAGCTGGGAGAGATTTACTTCTCACAAGCAAACCCACAGCGTCAGACTGAGCTGTTCACACAGTGAAGCTGTTGTTGCATCGTGGAGTCAGCGTTCTGGAGACTGGTGATTCTTTATTTAATTGTCTGCTCTCGATGCAGCATCTGCCTTCTCTGCTTTCACAGCATTTGAGCTCATGTTGGGTCCTCGGTGACACTGTGCCCACCACTTTGTTCATTTGTCATTGTTTTAGATCCATGCTATTTTGTATATAAACATTATTCTATTTAGTTCTGCATTTATCTGTGACATTTGTCATAAATGTAATATTTAAGTTTAATGATGAATTTCTATAGATGTTGCAGTCCTAAGCCCTGCTTTGCTCCACTCACTCACTTGATCTTTACTTTGGATTTGTCGTTGAACCAGACATGAGAGCCTATCAAGCAGCCATCTTTACCATTCATCATATAAAAATGCATTACACAGTCATTGAGCATGATGCTCAGCTGGTACAGAACAGTCCTTCACGTCCCATACATCCATTATTCCATCCAGTACTACTAAACTTGGCACAAAGCCTAATCTCCTGACAGCAGCCAGACACTTTGAGTGACAAATGGAGGGGAGGGAATGAAAAGTGATGGAACAGCTGTGAGTTTTTGAAAGCATTTTTAACATTTAATGCCTTCAGATGACAAGACTATTTATTCCTCATCTGCTGCTGTCAGTCAGCGCAGCATGTCTCGGGTAAACAAATGGGTCTGAGGGACACCTGTGTGGACCTCGGCACTTTCAAATGATGTACTGTAGCTGACTGTCAAAGACATCTTCAAGGGTGAAAACGGCTTACTTGATTCAGTTTGTCAGTGCTTAATGATGTTTGGAGAAACAGCGACAGCATCAAAATGTTTTCATGGTGTTTTTTTTAATGGCACGTGGTCCTGCTGTTTTACAGGGAAATGGACACGAGCGTGACTTTCTGGACGACAGGCGAGTGTTCATCATGGATATGTACAATCGCTACATTTATCCTGGAGACGAATATGCCAAAAGTGAGTGAAAAGCACCGTCGATTTTCCTCTCAAACTGCCTCTTTTGACCTTTCAATTCATAACAATTTTGAAATAATTCGTACCTTCAAACAGGTTTATGCCGTTCACATGTTCTATAGGACGTAAATGCATGAGAAAAACAAACCCAACACTTGTCCAAATACCCCATCAAGGTTGAGGTAGTAGCAGTGGTTAGTTGCCTTCCCCCACTCCCATCCCTTAGATGTCACTGTGTTTTAATTATGCTGTGATTTCCCCGAGCACTACAACTCACTCTGTTAGCACTCAGTGGGAAATCTAGCACGCAGCAGTCCCTGCAACACCATAATCATGGCTTCTGCACAAATTAATCTGTCAATACATTGAAGCTCCTCTGACAGGGAGCACATTCCACTGTGTAGCCCCGATTCTAACAATACTCTGCAGAGCAAATGTCGCAGTCTGCCTTTAAAAAAAATTCTCTCCGTCCTCCATCCAGTTATCTTGCTTTGCACAATTAATTGAATTTAAGACATTTTATAATTGTCTGTCCCCTTAAGAGAGTAAAATAAATGTATATTCTGGCTTGTTTAAGATAAAAAAAACTGCCGTCATATTCTTTTTCATATTTTTTTCTCTGAGACACATTATTTCTCTGTACCTTTAGAGCCCAAGCTTATGTTTTTTTTTTCTTGAAAGTCTTGTAAAAACTACCAAGAACTTTTTGTTTGACTTTAATGTGCCGTTGCACTGGCTCGTCCTGCTTTTACAGCCTTATTCTGTTTAAAAACATTAAGGTTTTCTAATTAACCTTTTTCATAATTTTCAAGTTTAATTAGTATCAATGGAGTTAAAGCACTTCTGCAGAATTGTAAAATTTTAGAATGAAGAAATCCAGTTACCTACATTGATATTCTATTAAAAAAATCAATGTTGTTTTAGTTTGATTTGTTAATCATGTTAGAAACAGAGTATTACTAAAGAAAGTCAATAAAATCTACTGTAAAATATACATGAAAAGGTCTCATAAACAAAAGTCGGAAGAGCTAAATCACACATTGGTCCGGCATCCTTACTTGATACTTGTTATAAATAATTAGCCATCTTCTCCAGTGTCCGTCATACACAAATACAGGTAAAGGGAGCAATGTTGACCTTATTGTTACAGTTTAATGTATTGCTGGTTAAACATGTAATTGATGTGGGTGCTGCTTTTACATGTCACATCCACTGTGTTGAAGATCAGAAACGTAACATCCAGCATCCTTGTTATAGAAGTTTGGTTAGTTTATTTTTTTTAAACTGGGGATGCTGAAGATGTAATTTAAGTTGTTTTTACACCTAAAGCCACTTTCACCTACTGACACAGCGCTTTATTCAATCAGTGATAATTTTGTCAACTTATAATTTTCATTAGTTTTTGTTGGCGACAAGAACGAATGCTTGAGGAAAAACACTATGTTAAAATGTATTGACACTTTCGTCGATGAATTAAATGCTCCCATTAAAACACAACGTGATGAGAATTCTTGGGAGGAAGAGAAGAGCAGACACATTTCGTGTTTGATGTTAAGGAAAATGAGATTTTTGCAAACGGTGTGGAGAAACTCTCACCGGTAAAACATTTTAGTCAAAGGAATCTACTTCAGAGTTTATCTGTGATAATCTTATATTTTATCAACTGAAACTAAACTAAAATAAATCTGATGGCTAAATTATGACTAAAACTAAATCAACATTTGCTGTAAAAATTAACACTGTATTCAGTACACTTTAAAGGTGCAATATGTAAGATTAATGTTCACAAGTTACAAGTGTAACTTTAGGTGTTGTAACTTCAGGATTTGGTGTAAAATATATTAAGATATTTTCTTGGCACATATTGGATCACTTAGTACCCGGTGAGCATGATTTAAACACAACGTATATGTAGTAATGTATGACCAGAGTGTAGCCATCTTTTTATGGATGCTTCCACAGGACGCAGCATGATTTCACAAAGCTGGCCTCTTTAGTAGCAGATCTCAATCCAACAGAGCACTCTTGGGATTTGGTGAAATTCAAAGCTGAAAAATCTCTGTGATGCTATGGAACAAAATCTCTAAGGATTGTTTCCAGCGCTGCGTTGAGTCTGTTTTATGAAGAATTAAAGGAGTTCTGAGAGCAGAAAGGGCTCCGACCTGGGACCAGTAAGGTATCTATAAAGTATCCATATACAAACACAAAGACTCCAAAGTAGATATGCATTGATTTCAATATCTTATTCATTTACTTTTTACACCACCGTTTTTCAGGTGCAAGTGCTCTTTAGAATGAAAACTACGATTAGCATCCATGAGTAAATCGAATTAAAGTATCATTAATGCTTTATTTGCTCTGTCTGTAGCCCCACTCCTGTGTGACTTCTGTTAACCAAAAATATGGCGTGGGCCGTGTTTAAGCTTTACCCTTCCATTTCAATGATTTATACCTGGTGGTTAATGGTCTCACTCAGTGTCATACTATGTCAAACTGCTTGTACTTTTCAATAAAACTGTCTAACCTATTAATAAAAAGTTTTTCTATTAAAACAGGGGAAGTATAGACACAAATCTGAGGTTGGAAAGAGGATGGATACTTCCTGCTTTATCTAACAGTAGAAAGATTTTCAATTTACTTGGAAAAGTATCCATTTGGAAGCACATATTACAGATACGAGTCAGAAGTTTTACAATGCCATCAATGGCTTCCTTCACTATTGCCATACCAGTTTTATTACAGTCAGTCAACGATTTATTCTTACACTTTCTCATAATATTCATTTCTTTTATTGCTCTCAGAACTCTGCCAGTTCTTAAAGAAATCCTGTTGAAATACTGCAGCAATTCCTAGACCATGTATAAGTGATGTCTTTGGAATCAACTCCCCATAAATGCTTCTACTTTGTATCAGTTGGATTATTGAGTTGCTATGTCCGGTAGCTTCACTGTGTCTCATATGCACCAGTCTTGTATAAATTTTTTGTTCAACAACAGGAGCAATAAAAAGGAAGGTGGAGCTGGACTGGGGCACGGAAGACTCAGAGTACCTTCAGAAGGTTGAGCTCCACATGGAGGGAACACTGAATGAGGTCTTGCCTGATATCATCGTTTATAATGCAGGGACAGACATCTTGGATGGGGACCCACTTGGGGGACTCTCAATATCACCACAGGTACTGTCACTACTGATTACTTTATACAAGGGTTTCAGAGTAGCATTCATTTGCCATTTTTGAGCTGGCAAATGACCTCTGCTAATGACGGTCCAGATGTCTGGATCATCATCAGTGGGGTTTCCACTCATGCAATAAAAGTTTAGCAGCCCAGCAAACCTATAGTCAGATAAAAAGAACGTGCTTCTTAATTTGCTTTATGGGTCACCACAGGAGATGAACGTTCTCCATCTCACCCTATCCATATCCATAGTGTTCCATCACATCCATCCATGCTGTCCTCCTGCACTACATCCATGTATTTTTTTGTGGTCTTCCTCTTTTCCTCCTGCCTCGACGCTCCATCTTTAAAATCCTTTATCTAATGTATCCTCCGTCCCTCCTCCACACGTGTTCGAACTGCTCAACCTGAGCTGTCACTCTGATGTACTTATTTCTAATCTTGCCCATCCTGGTCACTCTCAATGAAAATCTTAACATCTTCAACTCTGTCAGGAGCTCAGGCTCCTGTTTTGTTTTGTCTGCCAGCTCCTTGCATGATAACCTTTCCAGCTGTCTCCATCTCATTCATCCACATGTATTCTGTCCTGCTTCTACTAACTTCAGTTCGTCTTTTCTCCAGAGCATACCTGCACCCGTCCAGGCTCTTTATCACCTGCTCTCTACTACAGATCACAGTGTCATCTGTCAACATAATTGTCCACTGAGACTCCTGCTTGACCTCATTAGTCAACCTGTACATCACCATCGCAAACAACATGGGGTGCAGAGCTGATCCCTGAACCCATATGTGACTCCTACCATATACCTCATCACTGTCTTGCTGTCCTCATACATGTCCTGTAACACCCTTACATGCTTCTCTGCCACTAGACTTCCTCGTGCCGTACCACAGTTCCTCTCTTGTGCCTGTCATATGCTTTCTCTAGATCAGCAAAGAAGCAATGAAGCTCCTTCCGACCTCTATACTTCTCCATCAACACTCTGAAAGTATACATCGCATCTGCAGTGCTCTTCTGATTGTCATTTCTCTTCTAAACCTAACTTCAACTACTCTTTCCAATAGCTTCATGGTATAGCTCATCAGCTTTATCTCTCTGTACCTTCTGCACATAAACCTTGTTCATGAAAATAGCTGCCAGTACAGTTCTTCTACTCCTCGGGCATCCTGTCAGTCTCCACAATCACGTTAAAAAGTCTGATGAAAATGTCCAGTGCCCTCTGTCTCGACATCTGGATCCACTCTTCATATCTGCCCTCACTTCCTCCTTACTAATACTCTACACTTTGTGATTCACTAACTGTCCTCCATCTGTCCTCCTCTCTCTCATATTTTCTATTTTAATGAGTTTCACAAAGTGCTCTGTCCAACACACTCTCTTCAGTCTTTAGTACATTTTCATCTCTGTCCTTAATCACCCTAACCAACAACATAATTTCTCTGCCTAATATCTTACCTACCCAACTCCTCCTCATCACCTCTGTTCCCTTCACCTACATGTCCTGTAGGACATATGCACTGACAATGTTTAATATCAGCCCTTTGACTTGCAGCCACAAACTCCTGTCTGACACTCTCTTCACCTCCACAACACTGTTCTCATCTCTTCCTTCAAGCTTACTCCTATTTTGTTTTGCCTCTTATCTATAACATAAGCATTGTACAGTCTGATCTTGGGATGAATTTGCTAGGACAACCACTCCTGGGAAAACTGACTGCTGGACTTAAAGGGTTATATAAGTTATATAACCCTAAGTCCGTGTCCATGTTAATCGACAGCAACTGGATAGTTGTATATGTCTTTCTTCCTGGGAAATGTGTTAACATACATTTGGATTATCCATACCTGGATGATACTTAACCCTATTAATTCCCATGGAAGCCATAACAATGTAGGTACTTTGTTTTTCACACACTGCTTCTGTATTTTGGCTTTATTTTTGTGGTGGTATTTACCTCTTTTTAAAACCAGTTATGTACTGGATATGCGCACACACACACACACACACACACACACACACACACACACACACTGCTAAAAGCAACAATGGAGGACATTTAAAAACCAGAGAAATCCTATAACATATTACTGTTTTATCTGTTCTGACAATATCCATCCGTTTTTGTCAGCTAATCAAAATAAACCATTTATTGCTGTATCTGACCGAGGATGAATATGATACGGCACACTTCCTTTGGTTATATATGCGTTACTTTTTCCATGGTGTCTCATTCTGTCCTCTCCCTCCAGAGCTGCACATATGCAGCCTGTCTGAGCGACCACACAGTTAACAATTAGCAACATTTAACCAAAAATTGGGCTGCATGTGTTCACAGAACTAATGTTAGTCTGATACCTTTGATATGTTCTGTTTTTTGTTTGTTTGTTTTTTGTGACTATCCCTACAGTGTCACAGATTCAGCTCCGTATTTTAGCACGGAGTAGGGCTGTGCGATATGACCAAAATCTCATATCCTGATGTAAGACATCTATCGTCCGATAACGATATAAATCACAAAAATTTTACATTTTCTGTGAATCTCGGGCAGCTCTACTTGCGTGAAGTGTTTCCAGCTGGGCGTGGTGTACCTTGAGTCAAGTGTTTTAACCGATGCATGAAACCAAGGGCGTAGAGTTGGCATGGACGGAAGGGACATGTCCCCACGAATAATTTGATCTCTTCGAGTAAAGAAAAAAAAAACAGAAAGAAAAAAAAACGATCTGTCAACGTCTCATTCACCCAGCGGTGCAGAAAGCGTTAAATTACTGGAGTCCTACCTCATGTGACAAATATGGCCAATGTGATTGGCTGTGCCTCTCAGGGAGCTCTGTTTAGTTTTAGCAGCAGCAAGCCTGCGCTGCGAGGATCTGCAAGGAGGAGAGGAGGATGGCAGCAAAAAGGAAGAACCTGGATATAAGAAAGTGTTTTTCAAAGAAACCTGTAAGTCACTTAAAGCCAAGTTAACTCATAAAATGTGTCCGTCACAATAACGTTACAGGCTATGCTAGGCTTTGGCCCACATCAGTCTAAAACTGTATGTAACCACGAATAACGTTTTTTGGAAACTAACTGCACAACATGCAGCACTATTAGTTCTCTCAGTCTCAGAGCAGCATTTCTATTTTTGATTGAAGGTGTCAGAGAAAACAGCAGCCTCGAGCAAGCCAGGATATTAGTTTACAGAGGCTGTTAGAATTATATGTCTAACGTTAAAATGTTGGAGACACAATAATTTCATCCTAATGGTAATGATAATTTCATAGGGTTAATTTTTGAGACAAAATATCACAAAGTAGTCATGATTTTGCAAATATTCCACCTCGTAGTGCAGTTTGCACAAATTGTTTTTAAAATGCACTCACACTACAAACATTACTGATGAGTCTAGATCTGCACAAACTGACAGAAACACTGAAGCAGCTCCACATTTTATTCTTATTGTCATGTATGTCCTATTTGTCAGGTGACAGGCGAACCAACACAAAGCTCAGAGCTCAATGGTGACACAAGATCACAGGTGAAATTGGCTGATGACCTGTTGGTTCATGACTGTATTTGAAGCACATGTGTGACTGCATGTATTTGGAATGTCTTACTGTTATTTATCAGGTGACAGAGACAGCTCTGCCATGTTGTAGCTCGGACAGAGGTGAAGAGGCGAGGTCACAGGTGACTGATTGATGTTTTGGTGCTATAGATTAATGAGAGAAGGCATGTGTTTGGCTCTTTCACATAGTGGACATTGAGTTGTTGTGTGGGACACCAGTAGTCCATGTCTGTTGCTGTAACAGTAGTTCATGTTGAGAATAAAAAATCCCAGCTCACTGATTTGATAGGAGCAGTAGTGCCTAAAATGTTGCATAATTTTGCTGAGAGATCTTTTACTTTGTGGTAATCTTAGACGAGTAGTTTTATGGACAAAAGCCACCAGGTCATTCAGTGTTTTCCCTTTAGTGCTAATGTATAAGAGATGTTGGTGTACTATAACTGAACTAATGTTGTGAAGTCCTTAAAGTCATATTCTTTTATTGTCTTAACTGTATTTGAAGCTATTTTTATTTTTGTATGATACTTGATTTATATGGATTATGGCTGAAGTAAACTAAAGCCTAAAATACTTAGTCAGTCATTTGCCTAATAGTAATTTAACATTATATAATTCACTTATAAAACTACGAATTGTAATTTTAAATGGTTAAAAAGCATGTAGAATAGCATATGTAGGCCAGAATATTTCTCCTTTTATCAAGAAGCAAAGACAAAAAGGGAAAAAAAAAGAAACAGGGCAGGGTTTGGTGGTTGAATCATCCATCCCCACCAATGCCAAAACGGTGTATTTATTACACGGCGTGCTGCAGGGAAAAGCCTGTTCTAACGTTTGAGTCTAAGGTTTATGTTTTAGCACCTGGCGGCTCTTTTTTAATTCTCATCCGTAAATAATCTGCTCTTTCACGTGATCCAGTTTATTTTGAAAAGTCTCAACAGGATCTTGAGCTTTATTGTGAAAGGTTTATGTGGAAAATAAACAAGCGGACATGCGATGGTTTTACCGTTGTTGTTGCTAGGGACAACGCATAAAAACAGGCGCTTGTCCATCTGTAGCGTGGTTATATTAACTATAAGAGAAAGAGAGAACTTTAAGGAATTAATAGAACCACTACAGTGACCATCAAAACCATGAAAAAATATTGCCGTAAACAGTTTATTTTGCGACACCACGAAACAAACGATAGCGTAAAATGAAACGATAGACGTTTTTATATCGTCATCCAATATATATCGTTATATCGAACAGCCCTAGCACTGAGGTCATAACATTGAGTTTTACTGAACTATATGTTTTTATATTTAGCCCTGCTTCTAATACTTACCTCACATCCAGGTTTATTACTTTAGCGGTGTGGTCAATGTCCTGTACCCAATATTTATTGTAGTATGTAGTTTATAAACAGGAAGTAGAAATACAGTGCAGTCTTGTAAGAACTTCACCACCTATG